TAATGTAGCCTTAAGTAGTTACCTCTTTCCCTTCTCCCTCTCCCCTCATCCCTGTTCCCTCCTATTCTTCCCCTAGAATAGCAAACTACCCTCCTTTGGGAGGCAGTCTTGGGCCTTGTTTATTCTTGATGTGAAAAGTTACAATATACTGAATGTGAGAATAAGTGGTGGACATTTTTAATGAAAGTCATTTCAAAATTATACTGAATTCTTAATTTAATGTTCCTTTAATTTAATGCAATGTTTTCTCTATTTCAGCCAATAAAAAGTTTTAAAATGGGTATACCACACTATTTAAACTTCACTGGAAAAACTCAAAAAAAATCATAATATTCTTATTCTTAAATCTTGTAGGAAAATAGGGATGTAAAGAGGATATAAACTATCTTGAAATAAGATAGTTTGGAGTTCTTTATGTAAGGTTTACACCAATTGTCCCACTGTAATAAATAGAGATAATTAGTAACTGAAGAGCTGTGTCTTGAGATGATTTGCATTATTTGTGCCTGTAGTTAAAATCACTACATAGTGACTATATTGTGTTATAATATTTATATTTTTCTTTCAGGAGAGAAATAGAAACAAGCAATAACCACCGTGTGGAAATGTTCTGTTAAAATGACAACACTAATGATGTAGACTCTGGAAATGCCTAATAAGTCAAAGAAGACGTTATTAAAGCTTTTTTTTTTCTTTTCTTTTTTTTTTTTTTTCCTGCTTACGGTGACATCTTTGAACACTTTAACACGAAATTGACTCTTCTTGTAATGGTTTTCATCAGCGCATCTGCCCTTATACTCTCACCAAACACTTGAGAACTGTAACTTCATCAAGCACTTTCTGTCCTGAAGCTTTGACCAGTACCTGCTGTCTTTTGTAATTATGCATCCTAGCTAAGGCACAGAAGACTGAGTGAATGCAAGGGTTCATTAACTCTTTGAATTTGTTAAGTACTAACAGTTAACCATTAGAAGTGGTTCAATGATGTAAGAGTCTCACTGCTTCAACCTTTTCTTTGTTGTAGTTTTTAAATTGTCAGTTTTTAGCTATTTGACAGATTAAAAGCAAAATAATCATGCCATATTTAGCCCTGGAGTTCAAGTCTGAATGTTTATGTGAAAAATTATTGTAGTAAACTTTTAATATGGCAAAGCAACCTTATGCTCTATTTTAGCCAAAAGAAATATAATCTAAAATAATATTAGAACATTTCCCTTGTCTTCAAACTATTTGGTGTAACAGAATACTGATATGCAGCTTGGTGGACTTGAGTAAATGCACACCCTTTCCCAATTATATGTACACTGAGAATGTGCATTGGTTTGAGGGATTAATTATTTTGTTTCTACCACTTAATGAATCTCAACACTTTGAGCAATGTACCTCAGTCTAATCAGACTTTTTATGACCTTTATAACTACATTTAAAACCCTTCAATCCTGTTTCTGGGTGTTTGTGAGCGGATTGCTATCATGAAGTAAAAAATTATTACTCTAGGTACTCACTAGCTAAAAAAACATAGTTCTTGTTTAGCAAAGCATAAACTATTCCTCAACTCTTCTTCAGCTGTTGCAGTGTCCTGGCATCCTTAAAATACTTTGAAAATATGGCCTTGATCCATGAATTAAATCAGTATCTAAGTGAATGTGTTGATGTTTTATTGATCAGATCTATATAAGTGGGAATACAGCATATATCTGGGTATTCTTATAGTTATCTTTCTAACATCCTATTTTTTTCATTAATTACATATCAACATTAATTTTGTATCTTGAAGCAAATTGATTTTGTATAATTGAATGTGTTGTGCATCTGTATTGAGTGATTTGATGGCATAAGGTTATGAAAATAATGTCTTGCCCCTTACATTACTGTTTTGAAAGGAGAAAGCTATGTAGAATGATATGTTAAAGGTGAAAATAGCAATACAATAGATTTGAATACCTTGATGTTTTGTATTACTCCATTTATGTTTACATCGTGTTTAGAGATTTTTTTCATTTGCTCTCCTCTGCTCACTTCAACATGAAAGCCTTGTGGTGGATATTCCTTTGAAACTTTGATTTATGTAATTTTTTGTACAATGTTTTAGAATGTGCAAATATTGTATTTTTTATTAGAATACAGTATTTGTAGATAACCATAGCTATTTCTCACATTACTTGGTAGTCCCAGTGTAGTTATGTCAGTGTTTACTGAAGGGAACATCAAAATATTAATGGTATGTTAAAGAATGAAAACTTTCATAAAGGAAAATTGCACCTATTTTACCTTTTTGAGACTAAGCCATGAAATCTTGTAACATGTCTCTTAACTATTTATAATGAAAATTGGCATTTGGGTATAGTCAGCACAGCAATGTTCTATATCCCTAAGATTGCACAGGTAGGACATTTCAAAGGTGACTCATGTCATTCTGGAGCTCCTACTAGAGAAAACTGTAAAAGGGTGACCTTTTAGGAAGGGGCTGAGTCCTCCCCCTGAGGTTCTCTTTTTCTTGGTGCTTTATTAGCAACTCTGGATATTTTTATAAAACTAGTGACATTATAAACTAATTCAGTCTTGTTTAATTTACCTTAGGTGTAAGAAATGTCATCGAAATTCCCAACGAGCAGGCTGATTGCAGTAGACTCAGACAGGGCCAGTTTAGCTGAGAGTCTGTTCGTGGTGAGAGGAACATCCCAGTGCCTTTAACCTGAATTTCTAATCTTAAGTGAAATGGGTGCAGCATTCCTTTGGGAAAAAAGCTTCCACTAATTTTGTGTTTTTCTCACCTAAGTATTCCCCAAAGCTCCAACCTTCTCTTCCTTCTTGGTCAGTCAGTATATTGCAAGATTATTTTTCCAGTAAATGAAATCATTACAGGTTGTCTCTTGAGCACAACCAACAGAATGTTTCTTAACTGTGGGGACCAAAAGGGAGAGAGCCCGGACTCTACAAGACTAGGTATATAATAAAATGTATGAATAATCTTAAATTACAACATTGTTGGTCCCGTGATTTCTTGCTTAACGGTTTTCCAATTTGTCATTTGAATGGTTCTTATTAAAGTTATGTGGGTATTTTATTTTTAAAGGTATTATAGTTTGTATATTTAACAGTAAGGGGGAAAGTGTAACCAAAATTAGTATTTACATATATTGGTACTTGAAAATTCCTTAAAAAAAGAAAAAAAAAAACTCAGCCTTTTAGTGCTTAATTCCTCATTTTAACATGTGATCTTTCTAATTGAAAAGCTGTGTTTTTTTTTTTTTTTTTTTGAGTACCATGCATGAGGGTTAAGCTGATGTTCAAACAGTTTGCAATAAAAAAAAAACCCAATCAGCTTAAGTCATTCAATCATTTCAAGTGCATTCTGCATCCTTTAAAAGTAAGTTTGTGAGATTTTAAGAGAATTGTGTTTTCATTAAGTTTTGCATATCTTTTGTTATGCCATGTAAATTCCCTTTTTCATATGATTAAAGAAAGGGTATGATGAAATGATTAGCTCATTTACATTCACTTGTAGCAGTTACAAATGAGAATTTGAATTTTGTCGTGTTTGGGTTTGTTCATTCCTGTGAATGAGGTTTCTGTAGGTGAGATCCCGTGAATGATGGTACAGTAGGTGAATTTTTTTGTTGTTGTTGTTATGGTACCGAACTTACCATTTGGTCCTCTTTAATCTTTGAGGGTTTCAATAAAAATTGTTCATTCATATCTGTGTTCTTTCCTTTTTTTCTATCTTTATAAATACACACTGCTTGCTAGAAAACAACTTTTGCTTATTAAGATTTTCCTGATTGGCAAATGCATGCAATTTAATCATTTCAGTTAGATATTTAGATTAAGTGAATTAAAGATGAGGGGGAGTGTTCTTTATTCATACTTATAATAGAAGAGGAAGAGGGCCCCCCCTTTTTTTTTTTAGGGAGGAGGGGGAAATAGAAATACCAGCCTATCTCTTCCATGGCTCCAAGGAGTCCTTTTCTAACAGTCTTTACATTATCTTTTAGAATTCATGGACCTTATATGGATGGGTAATCTTAATTCTGGATGGTATGCTCATCATTAACTTTGCTCTCTATAAAGCCCTTAGTTGGATGAGAAAATAAAATTTTAGTTTTGTGTTCTCAAAACCAGTTGCTTGTATACAGACATCACTGGCGGTGTCTGGTGTACCCACTGGTAGCATCAGGAGCCTCCACAAGTATGTAATTATCAGTGTACATAAAGAATTGAGGGCAGTTATTCATTTTTCACCTATAGTTGGAACATGGTTATTTTTCACTGACCTTGCTTCTTGGTGTTGGATTTAGAGATTCTGTTCTATGAACTAAAATATTGTTAGAGATAACTGATCAAGGTGGTTATCTTTACTTTCTACTTACATAGTACTTATTAGTATATAATCTCAATGTAGTAGAGTTTCCTTCCTGCTAAAATGTAGTACCTATATGTAGTGGTTGTAGGCTAAGTACAGTTTAGTCATAACTAGTGTTTCAAATCCAGAATTCACTTAATTTTGGTTATCTTTATAACATTGGAGCCAAATTTAAGTGAAAAACTATTTCCATGAAAATGTAAAATGAAGATAGGAATTCAGAGTAACTGACTAGGTGGGATTCACATCTGTTCTGCCATCTTACTTGGTCCTCCAAATTTGATATTTTTACATACTATGCATTTTGAGACACAGGATGAAATGCATATCTAGGGGACATAGAAATACGTCACTTGAGTTATCTGATGGGATGACACTGAGTCAATCTCTTTGTTAGTGTACGAATAAAATGCAGCTAAGATTGTGTCATTTCTGAGATTTTGTAAATGATTTACTTAGATAATTAGATTTGTAGGCTGTGATAGTGTCTAACAGTGTCAAATGTTTTTCCTTTGAAAGTAAGTTTGTACATTTGGATTTTGGGTGCTATATTCAGAATATTGAACATGTGCCCCAAAGACATCCAATTTTTTTCCTTCTGCCATTTCACAGTATCTATTCTTTATAAATCAGGTGAAAGGAATTTTACAGAAAATCTGAAAATATTTTCTAGCCAGAGTTCTTAACTACCTTGTGCACAGCTTCTGGACTTCCTGATACCTTCGAAATTAATGAGTATGGATCCTTCATTTCCTACTTGTACACTTTAATTTTTTTATTAGCTTCTATAATGTTCCTTTTGCCAGGATCCAGCCAAGAATAATACCATGGCACTTGTTTTCACATCTCCTTGATCGGGATGCCTTCTTGGACTTCTGTTTGATGATGGTGGTTGATACTGTGTGGAATGTTCCTCCTTTGGAATCTGCCTGGTAATTCTCATGTTTATTTGGGCTGTAAGCTTGAGGGAGGAGGATTACTCATGTGAAGGGCTTTTTTTTCTGTCACATGGCAAGGAGGAACACAGCTACATGTAAGCTGGTGTTTATGATTGGCTGAGGTGGCCCTTGTCAGGTTTCTTAATGTCACTCTTGTATATGGTGCCTGAGGTTAAACCTGGAGTCTGGCACATTCTATTCAAGTACTCTGCTGCTGGCCGGCTTAGCTTCCCTTTATCTTCTGACTAACCCTGAATGCCAGCTTCTTTGAACTGAGAAGTACCTTGTGAGATATGAAGTACATCTCTGGGTTGCCTCTGAAGGGGCTTTTCAGAAAAGATTAAATAGGGGAGGACTAACCCTTAATGTGGAGGTAGCATCACCTAACAGGCTGAGGACTCAGATGGAATAAAGGGAGGAGGAGAAAGAAATGTAAACATTGATTCCTGGCCACTATGATGTGCCACCCCTATCCCATGATAAAACCAGGAACCAGAACATCTTTTGTTTCCTCAGGATATTTGGTCACAGTGGTTGAAAATGTCTAAAGTACGGGGTCGTCTTCTCTGTAACACATTCTGTCCTCAGATTTTACAATCTGACCTTTGCATGTGTACATCACAACTCCCCACAGGTTACTCCTCGAGCTCATTCAAAAAGTCCTAGTCCACATCTGAGTGGAGAATTAGTAACACTGTGATCCTTGGATTTTTACACAGGAATCTAGGAATCTTAGTTACTTACCCTCTATTGCTGAAAGCTTGTATGTCAACATTTTCCCTGTGGATAGTATCCCTCACTTTCTCTACCTTTATTAAGGGGGCATCAGAAATCTTGAAGGAATTTTAACAGGATTCATACCTATTTTAAATATAATTGTCTGAATGAAGAAGCAGTGGATCTAATAAAGGGGTAGAAGATAAGTCTTAGGTCATGGGGAAATTCTGGCTGTGGTGTGATAGGAACTTGGAGTTATTCAGCTTTTGCTGGAGGAAAATCTGAGGTAGGAGATGTATGCTATGATTAGACTGGTGTGTTCCTTTAAAAGGAAAAATGTGTTGAAAATAGAGTAGCATCTTTTATACTTGAATCTTTTCATATATACTTTTTTAAAGATCACCATACCGTTTGTACTTTTTTGTGGGGTTTGGTGATACCTGTCTGTAACATGTACCCGTCAGGTGAAAATAGTTTTCTCTGTGGCTCAGATTGAACCATTATTTACTGTGATCATAGCTTCTTTACTGTGTGATAAGGCAATGAATGGATGCTGTTCCTGACCTGTCTCTGCTTATCGCCTCTCCCTGCACACTTCCCAGGTTTTGGTAAGTCATATGCTCTTCAGAGGTTACGGGAAGTCATGCAGCATTTACCTTTCTGTGCCTGAACATCCTAAGGTGATTTTTATTATAGTGGCCAAGAACATGAGCTTTGGAGGTGGGTAAATAACTTCCTAGAATCTGGGACCCCTACCGAAGTCAGTCTATATTTTCTGGTGGGCTATGAGAGCAAACAGTGAAGGAATGATAAGATTTGTTTCAAAATGGTGGAATGAGATAGTACTATCACATGCTGAGTTCTATCCCTGGGCTTCCTTTAAGTCCTCAAATATTAACTATCTTTTTCTGTTTATGAATACTTATAGGGTAATCTTTCCTACTTGAGTGCAGCTTAGAGGTTGTAGTCAAAATGAACTACTTTCATATTTTTATATTGAGAACCC